ACTTAGACTGCTTTTGCTGATGAAGCTCTTCAGGTCCCCTGAAAATAAATACCAGTATCATTGGTGTAATGATAACATATGCAGATGAGCATGTACACATCCAGATACTTATTTAATTTAGGTCGATTTGCTCATTGTCCCTGTAGGCTGTATTATTTGTGTGATTATAGAGCTCTCAATGCAAACTCGGAACAAACATGAAAATAATATAAGGCGGTATCATACCATCAGTTTTCGGGCAGATTAGCTGAGGATTTCTCTCTACAAACAAAGGGCATGACATTGCACATAAATCTGATCTAAATCTACACAAAATAAAATTAAAGTTAAAGTTAAGACTCCAAATTCAATCTGTTACTATGTAACTCAGTTTAATGTAGTGTTCCTCAGGAAGCTGCTCCAAATACTCCTAAATTATTTTCCCCTTCCCCAGAACAAGCATCTCGATTGCTTCTATTAGGACCACACTGCAGAAGGTTGTCAACATGAGTTATCTTTCTTGCCACAAGCTTGCTTTAGTCAACACAGAAATTTGACATTACCCAACAAACCCAGTGCTTCTGGTCACCTGAACAAAGGAACCTTCTTAAATGACATTAGCCTTCAGCTGACACACAGCCACCAGCAAAATGCCAGGGTGTCTGTCAGTGACATACCAATGTCATCTACTGCCACAGCCTCTGGAAGGCACAGATTTCTACAGCGTAGCCATGCTGGAGGCAGCAGAGCAAGAAAAGCTCTTGTAGATACTAAACCCATTACAGTATTCATTTTTTTTTTTGTTCACTAATCGAGGTAAAATATTTCTTTATGCATTTATTTCCATGTTTGTGTGGGAAAGAGCTTATGTAAGCACCAAGCCATGGAGAAGGGTGGTTTTTTTAATTTATTCTTCATCTCTCCAAAATGTTTGTTGTCATGTGATTTTTTTGTAGCATCTGAAGCTGAAGGAAAGCATAAAGAGGTAGGTACGACTGTGCTGCTGTTGTTAGAAGGATGCTCTAAACTGGACAACTGTAAGAACATGCAAAAAAAAAGTCTCTTTTGTCTGTGAAGAGCTGTTGTGAGCAATGAACAAACATTTTTCTTTTTGGTTTATATTAAACTTTATGCACAGGGGGCAACGGGGGGGTAAAGGACTTGAGAATCTCAGGTTTTCTCACAAAACAGAAAATTCTGTTATGAGCATCCAGAGTAAGAGCCAGAGAATGAGAAAAAAGCCCACCACATTAAGTGAAGCATGTGAGTTGTACTTAGATTTTGGATTTGAGGAAAATAGGGAGAAAAGTACTGAAGATGACTCACGCTATTTGGGGAAAAGGTTTATGTTAAGATGAATTTGGAAGAGCTGTGATGATGAATTGTCCCTGGTGAGGAGTGGTGCCAGAAGACTGATGGATTTCAGTCTGTTGGTAGTCTGCAGAGTGAAGTGACTTCTCTGTGCTCCTAGAATGCCCCATCGATCTTCCCGTGCCCATTCTGAGGACCCATGGGGTGTCACTCCAAAGGAACCCGCAGTGTCACCTCCAGCCTGGTGTCCGAGGGGACATAGGCCTGTAGAAATAATAATCCAGTAAAAGATTTACATATTCTTTCTTCCATCTCACTCCCTCACCCAATTTTTCATTTCATATCACTATCCCCTGTTGCCAAGAGTAGTTTATCTATGGTGTTTGATAAGGGAGCACTAAACACATTATAGTGCTATTTTAAATGACATCACAACTAACTAGATATTTTAATTGAAGGTAAATAACCAACATTATTGCCATTTGAATGATAGCAATAGTGGAGAGTAATGGCACCATTGAGGAATCAATTGCTATTTCCCTCATAAACCATAAACCATTCAGAGATTTATAATGCTTTTTTAATGATCAGCCCTTCTAGATGTTGAGCAGCTCCTCAGAGATCCTGAGTCTTCTGGCTGCCTGCTGAAGTCAACAGGAACGAGGGGCAGGGGGTCTCAGTATCACATATCTTTGTGCCCACCAGGATGAAGTTAGCAGCCTCAAGCAAAGGAAAGCTTGGGATTTTGTCGCACTGCTTTGATACGGTGTGCCCCAAGCCCCAAAACAGGGACACTTGGCTCAACCACTGTTTCATAACCTGCTTAAGAATAAAAATGCATTGTGCATTCGTGTGCATTTCATGCCCTCTTAAGGTAGGTATAGCAAGTAACCTTGTGTAAGAAACCACGTTGATTGCATAGCTAAACGTGTTCCCTTCACATTTTCTCTGTCCTGAGACTATTTTGACTAATGTGGTACTATCCAATGCACCGGTTGGTTCAGTGCCATCATATCATGCACAAACATCTGTGGATCCAGAGTGCTGGCAGAGGAAACGTCCCGTGTTCTGCGCTTGGAAGAACTGTCCCCCTTCCCTGGTGCCATCACCCAGAGACAGGGTCAATGTCTCAGGTTTATTTTTTCAGCTGGAGTCAATGGCGTATTCGTATAGTCAGACCTGTGCTGGCAAATTCAGCCTACGTTTCTCATTCTCATTAAATTCAATGGAATTATCCTCATGACAAAGGGGATACAAGGCCAGTCATTACATTTTCATTTTTAACTTGCTTTACTTTAGTTTAGAATCAAAAGCAACTTTTTGAAGGTCCGGAGAGCATCTATGTTGTGATCTCTTTTAATGCACTGAACTGGTCCATTCAAGCATTATCAAAGATCTTGTGATAATATTGCAGGAGCTGGTTACAAGGGAAATCAATCTTGACTCTGGATGTGGGAAGAGAGTACCGAAAAACCCAGCAAAGACAGATGAACTCCTCCACCCAGCCAGGAAGGGACCACATGCTTAAAGATGCACAGAATTCATTTAAAAAACCCAGACTTGGTCTGGTGAAAAACAGGAGCATTAATCCCTATATACTCATGTCATGAAAAATACTGCTATTAACAGGACATAAGCATGAAGAGTAGCCACTGTCCCTCTCCCTTGTGTACGTCTTCAGGGATGAAGAGTTTCACTATGCCTACCTCCATCGCTAACGCTCTGGTGTTTCCAGCCCATTCCTAGAGCAATCTACTTAGCATCTGCTGCACATCCAATCTAAATTTTGAAAAAGCAGTCAACCCAACCTGCTCCCACTTAAGTCAATGACAAAACTCCCATTGACTCCAAGGAGAGCAAAAGCAGACCAGTTGTTAAGAGGGAATTGGTGCCTATTGTTCAGCCGAGCATGTCGGACTAGCATGTATCAACATCGTGAGTATCAAAGGGAGTTACTAGAGGAAATCCCCTGAATATTTATGCGATAGTCAGTGGGGAGGGCTGGTTTTCCCTCTCCCACATATCTCCACTGTGATATCGTAGCTACGTGAACGGACACAGTCATCTTGCAACTTCCAGCAACACTTCCAGACCCTCAGATTTCCCTGCGTGCTCTCTGTGGTGGAAGCAACCCAATGGAAAAAGAGGTCCGTGGCTATGGTGGTTCCTCACGGGTTTCCAGAAATACTGAGTCATTCTTCAAGAACCAACGTGGTGTCCGTGCATTCGGCACGGTGCTGCTGCAGTGTGTGTGCACGCCTGAGTGCGTCCGTGTGTACAGAAAATAATCTGTCCAAATCGGCTAAAGGGGAACCAGTTCCATACTGGAGTTTCCCATAGATTTCCAGTGAAATCAGATGAGCTCCCAGGAGGGGGCTGGTGCAAACAGAGCAACCCCATATTACAGCGTATCTAGTTTCATGCAGATTTTAATTAAATGGGACCAGCAAGATTTGAGTCTGCATGCTCATCATAATTTACAAATCTTTTCATTTTAGCCAGCACATCAACTCTCCCTATTACCAGGACTCTGGGAAACAAGATGTAACCATAATGTATGCTTTAAGGCCCGTATATATTTCCACCTCTTGAGACTTGGAGACTGCAGGGAGTGGAGTTTCACATCATAAAAGCAATGGCTGCGGCAGAATCGGGATCATCCAGCCCATAGCTAATGGAAATAAGGCTTTCCCATCGCATCGTCCTGATGCAGCACACACATCTAGACCTCACTCAGGCAAAAGATTGATACCACATTTTGTGCCGACAGTCCAGCTGCCAGGGGTGGCACTGGCAACGCGGGACAAAATAAGGAAAAACGAGAATGTGAGTATTTGTAAACAAAGCCTCAAAACATATGTTTTTAAAGGGAGGGAAGAGAATGAAAGTGTGCTGCACGCTACACTTCAGATGACCCAGTCTCACCGCTCGTTCAAGTTCTGGGTTTGACAGCTTCCCACTGTATCCTTTATACATCACCCGTCGTGACTAAGCATCGAGGGGACATGCAATCATTAATCACCATTATGGATTTCTTCCCTTCTGTTGGGTTTGACTTACAAGCTCGGGGGCAGATCCTGGAGCCTTTACTCCTTCCTGCAGTCCTTTGCCCAAGCAATGAGAGCTCAAAGCACCGCAGCATCTGTAGGATCAGGCACCCGAGTTTCCTCCACCAGCGTCCCATTCAAACACGCGACGGCTCTCGACCCTTAGAGGGGATTAAAGAAAAGTTTGAACAGTGCATTATTAAATTAAAAGGTTACAGTCTGCCACGAGATGACTTAAGCAGGACTCGGGAGCGTGTGTCTGTTAATTTTAATGCTCCGTCTCAAAAGTACAGAACTCTGGACATTTCCAGCATCATATTTAAAACATGGTACATCCACTAATACGTGATCTGGTGCGTTAATGGACCAAATTAAGTTACAGGTATGAATTTTACATAAAACGGATTAATATTATATGTCATGGAGGAATTTTAAATACTCCATCTCCATGCATTTTTAATAGTTATGTGCTCTAATTTAATGTTCCTAGGCTTTGCTGGAAGTCCCTGAACCCCCCCTCCTTCCCCATCTCCCCCCTCCCTCCACCCCAAGTTTTGCTCGGGATTTTTCCCTGCCTAAATCCCTCAAAATATGTGTAAAGCCGGGGTGGGGGGGGGTCCCCGACACCCAGAGCATTAAAAACGCCTTTCAGGACCCGAGGAGATGATGCCAACCCATCCCCGGGGGGGGCAGAATGGAGGGTTGGGGGGGGCGTACGGAGGGGCTGCCGGGCGGTGGATCCCCCTCCCGCATTCCCGCAGTCCTTCCTCCCCGGGACCGCCTTCCTCCTCCTCCTCCTCCTCCTCCGGCCTGGCCGAGCACAGCGGCTGTAAGGGGGGCCCGCCGTCGGGCGAGGAGCCGGCGGCGCTCTGCCTGCAGTGCGATATGAATGACTGTTACAGCCGGCTGAGGAAGCTGGTGCCCACCATCCCGCCCAACAAGAGGGTCAGCAAAGTGGAGATCCTGCAGCACGTCATCGACTACATCCTCGACCTGCAGCTGGCTCTGGAGACGCACCCGGCGCTGCTCCGACAGCAGCAGCCGCCGCCGCCCGCCCTGCACCCCGGTGGCTGCCCGGTGGGCACCCCCAGGACCCCGCTGACAGCCCTCAACACCGACCCGGTAAGAGGTGCGTGCCACGCCGGGGAGGCGGGGAGGGACGCGGCCCGGCGGGCATCATCCCGGTGATGCCACCCCTAGCTCTGCCCGAGGGGCGGACGGGGGTAAGAAACGCTCCCGGGCGGTGCGGGGTGGGTGCCGGGCATCCCCTCGGTGCGGGCACCCGCGCGGTGTTTACCGTGTAATTAACAGCCTCTCGAGGGAGTAGCTGTAATCAGCGTGTTTGCACACACACACGGGAGCGGACGCGCTGCTCCTCCGCTTCCCAGCCTTCCGCGGAGCGCAGCGAATATGGGGGGATTTTGGGGGGGGACGGGGACACAACTCTGTGCATTTAACACCCGATTTGAAGG